ACAAAGTGCTAAATATTCAATCTGATAGCTCTATGATTTTCTTTTACATCCTTTAAAAAATGCAATGGCCATTTAGGATTAGAAAATTATGAGCAGTATAACATTTTTTTCCCCCCTGGTAGATTAAGTGTAATCATCACTTAGTTAACCATATGCATCAGCAATTTTAATTCTCAATTTGACACGCAATATCTTTTCTACCATGATTTATTAAACCACTAAGTCAAAAAAGCAGTAAGTCTAATTTCCTTCAGTAGCAGAAATCTCAATGTCAACATATATATAAAAATGTCTGTATTTTCCAATGTTATATTCATTTGGATTGATGATTCTTTTCCTCATTTCTCATTCATCCGGATTTTATCGAGAGCATGTACTCTCAACTTGTTTAAAGGCTTTTTGCTTCATCAAAAAAAAAAAATTCTTTTCACAGAATGTTGTTATTGGTTGATGGCCAAAGATTTACCTTTTATTTATTTCCCTTATTTATTTATTTGCATCCATAGCAACACACTGAACTATACTTTAAATACCATACAGTGTTCCTCAGGGAAGGGACATAAAAGAGAAGTTGGACAAATTCCAAGAATTTCTTTTTAAAACACATGCATACATATCAGCTACAGAGAAACAAGATTCAAAATATGAACACTCCTCCAGGTACTATTTGCTTGAAATAGTATTGTAATAAATCATGTATGCCCAGACTTGTCACTCCAGAAAAAAGTCACTTTAAAAAAATACATTTCTTCTTCTTCACCCAAATGTTTAGACCTGTTAAGATTTTTTCCCTAACAATCAAAGCAACCCTTTTAGTAAGCTAAAAGTTGGCCACTTTTACCAGTATGAGTCACAATCACCTAAGGACTGACAAATTTCCTATTTTCTTCTTCACTTAGAATCAGTTTTACTTTCTTATTGACCAAATACAGTCACCTTAATAATATCATTCTAGAACTTAAGTCAGTTTATGAGAGAGAAAAAGAACAAAATTCAGTTAAATACTTAAAGATGAAAACTGCAAATTCTGTTATTCCATCACCAAATTTAAGACTTGAGTTTTACTAAGTACTGGAAAAAAACTTGAATTCACCAGCATCCTTCAAATGCATGATATAGCTTTAAAAATAGTTCTAAACAATAGAAGCTTGCCATGTGATCATAACATTAGAAAAATTAAAGAAAGTCAATGCCTTTTTTCATGTTTAACAGAATCGTGAGATATGTTGTTGCTGTTTTTTTTAAGCCACTAAGTTTTGGGGTGGTTGGCTATGCAGCAACAGATAAGTGAAAGCAGCACAAAACTCCAGGTGGCTTTGGTGGCAGTGAGCACGCAGTCAGTCCTGAGGGCACTGAAGTCAGGGGCTAAGCAACACCACTGGCTGATGAATAGCTCGGGAGAACTGGTGGGTGTAATCAAGCATAGAGGAAGACAGCATCAATGGCACAAGGAAGAGCTCCTGGAGCAAGAGGACTGCAGGACTGCAGGTAGCACTCTGACTGTACTTGTGGCATCCTGTGCCCTTGACCGCACCCTGAGAGACGGAAGTGAGGAGCTGAGGTCTGACCTAAATTAGACAGGATTAGTGATCTATTAGACTCACAGTCCAACTGTTCAAGGGTCTTTACAAAAGGTCCACAAGTTGGTGCCTAGAGAATATTAACATACAAAACAAAACTAAAAGAAATTTCAGGAGTCTGTTTTTCCTCATCTCTCATTTCATTATAATTCTAATATTTTTTTTTTCAAAATGAATGAGGTAATCTTTTATTCTGTGTTTTTAATAGACATAATATGAAATAGTTTCTTTCATTAATCTTCCTTCTCACTTGACTAACCTGTGTCTTCTACTTGGCTATTGTTTAGGGTAGCTTCACTCAGTAAATATTCTACCTGGATGTCTAACAACTTTTAATGAAAGGGTGGCAGCTCTGAAATACTTATTAGTGCCTTGCTGTAATGTGAATGGACTACTTTAAGGAACAGGGATGGATAATCTGTTTCTGCATAGGCCATATAAGCAGGTATAAGACACATTCTCATATAATACTGCATTTGTGCCTCTCAGCAACTCCTGTGAGTTAATCAAGAGCAAAATTGTCCCCATTTGAAGGATGATGTCAGGCCACAGAATTACTAAGAAGCAGTGGCATCACTTGTCCTGACTCAAAAGGGTAATAATGATGATGTGGGGTGGCATTTTATGAAACTCTAGAATTCTGTAAATGAGAAATAATCAGACATGAAAATATGATGTTTTTACCTTATGCACAAAAATTGAAATATATATGAATCCAAAAAGTTGTAATTTCATAAAAATAATTTCACAGCTGGCTACAGAAGAAACTGAATACTGTTGTTATGCTGCTGCCTGCCACTGGGCAGTGCCGCTTTAGCTGGAAAAAAGAAATATCTATTCTTTGTTGGGATATCTTTATTACGAGGTCTTGAGGGACTTAAACTTCATGGAAAATGCTACCAGCTGAACTTTAAATAACAAACTAAGCACTCAATTCTTTTCCCAGTATAATTGGAGAGTTTATTAGCCTTAAAAAAATACTTCCTGTATAGAATAAATATGCTAGAATAAAGACCATCAACTTCTGCTGTTATATACTGGTAGATGGTCATACTTCTCTAGCTAAGAAATACTGCTGATTTGGGTTACATGCTACCGTTTTGATTTTGTTCTAATATAGAATACAGGACAATTGATTTTGCTTTGTACAATGTCTCACTTTCACTTGACTGTTTAAGAACAATGAATTCTACTTAGTAAAGAAACTATAGCTTCTATGGCAAATCTAGAATCATCTGAACCACTGGAAAAGGCAATTGCAGGCCCTCCCCAAAATAAACTTTATGAACTTAAGGTCATAAGGTTACACATATGTTTGCTAGACTTTGTTCACTTGCTAGCTGGGAATATGAAATGCATTTCCAAGTTCAATTTCATGAAATACTTATAGAGAATGTTGTAATAAAATCCAGACATTCCTTCCACTACATTCCTTTCCTCTAATACTTCTGTAATTCACTCTAAAAAGGCCAATCAAGTTTGTCTGGAAAGATTACTTCTTCATGGACTACTGTTGTTTATTGCTAAGCTTCAGATATTTTCTAGGTACTCAAATTTAACATTATCAAATCACTGAAAACCAAAATAAGGATAGTTTATAATTTTTGTTTCCTTGTTTTAAAAAAGCAACAATATTTGACAGCTCAATTCTGTGATAGTTTTCCAAATTCAGAAAAAAAAATCACCAGGTTTCTAAAAAAATATCACCAGGTTTCCTATCTCATAACCTCTAGTATAATGGTTTCAAACCTGGTTGTGCATTCTAATCACCTGGGGAGCTTTTATAATAAAAATAAGGATGTCCAGGTCCCATCCCAGATCAATTAAGTCAGAATCTTTGGGAATGGGGGTCTAGGGAATGTGTTTTAAAACTTTTAAATACAGTATAGTGCTTTGTGAGCTCTTATTCTAAATGAAGAATCCAAAGCACCTCTATGAAAAGATATTTTTAATTTATCATGTGTTCAGTTATAGTGAAAATAATTTTATTATGATTTTTAAGAAGTGAAAGTTACCACTCTATCAACCATATTTCCCAAATTAAACAATGGCATCAATTTTCAACATTTAGAAAGCTACAGAGAACTGCTTTTCTGGTTCAAAGCTGTAATTTTAAAGTACCCCATCATACAAAACTCCCTTTTAAAGGGCGAATAATGTTAGGAAAGTTGTCTGTTTACTGGGAAGTTCTAGGATTAGTTTGAAGGATTAAATGTTAGCAAAACATAAGACTCTGACAAACAAAACAATAATAAAACAAGAATCTGCCAGGAGTGAAAGGAACAAATGGCCACTGATTTCAGAGCCAATTTCTAAGCTACCATTCTTTCGTTTGTTTCTTTTTCTCAAACTAGAAATCTCCGCAGAAAGAGCTGCAAGTGTACTAGCTAGCGTCTCACAATCATGTTCCTTAGGTGCTGCAAGACTCTGAATGTCCCTCTCTACTGACCAAGTAAGCACAGCAATGGAATGACAGGGAGCAAGGGACAACCTAACAGGCCAAATAAATCCTGGACATCAGTGGGTGACAGATGTCTTAGCCAGATCACCCCCACAGCAATGCTGACCACATGGAAAATGCACAACTCTCTATTTAATATTTCCCATTTTCATCCTCTTGTATAAGTGATGCTCAGCATGCATAAGGAATCAGAGCTACACATTATCATGAATGCTAATATTAGATGTTATCTCCCACTGTCGGTCCAAACCCATACCCGATTCTAGGACTAATGTCACCTCCTTTGCAATAGTGGGGAATTCCTCTGAAACACATAAACTGAAAGTTAAATTATTCTAATTTAGGTACAAGGGAATTTCAAGCCAATGTAACATTTTTGACCAGCTAAACTATCAAAATGGACAAGCAATGTCATTAAGAATACAAAGCAGAGGTTCTTAAGAATATTATTTTACATTTCAACATCAACGTCAATCTCTTAGGTCTGTCTTAATTAGTCACGGTGAAGGCACATTAAATTCTACATTGTTTGGACACTGAGTTACTTTTTATAGCAATATCCTACATATCAAACGGATAGACAAGAGAACTACAGTCATCTGAAAATAAGTGGGGAATAAAGGAGAAAGCTTTTAGGTGGACATCGACCTACCTACTTCTAACGCCGTGAAAATCCTTTGGGTAAATAAGGAACTGGACATTCTTCATTGGACTCATACCAGCTTTGAGAAAAAGGAAGGGACAAGCCTGCCTGGTGATTTCACAGAAGTTCTGGCCTTCTGTTCACATACTCTTCCTGACAGGTGCAGCCCCTTCCCTCCCTCCATCTGGGGCCTGGCTAAGCACTAAAACTGGCCTCTCCACCAGCAGAAAGCATATGGGCTGGGAGGGGACAGCATCTCCTTTCTGTTGGTATCTGCTCCCTACCGTCTCAGCTTGTTCCTTTTGTTGCTGTAGATACCTTGGTCCTGATTCACTGCAAGTGTTAAGCATTTTAAAAAATGTAATAGTTAATATAAGGAAAATATGACACAGACTTCTAAGTTATGAAGCATAATGAAGTGACTCAGTCATCCAACTTCAGAGTAGAACGCCACCAATGCCACGCAGTTCCAGGGAACTTCCCTCTGCCAAGGTACTCCCTCAGATCTAACGCCTATCCTAAAATTGGTGCTTGTCATTCCTTTTCCTCTTTTGAAAAACAGGTTTGCCATATATGTATATAACTCTAAATTACATATCATTTAGTTTTACCTATGCTGGGGCCTTTAAAGTGGAATCATACTAAATGCAGTCATATCTGGTCCGTTTTTTTAAAAAAAACAAACACGTTGCAATTTTCCTAATGTTAATGCATGTTGATGCTTTTAAGTGGTATCTCATTCAGGTTTATTGGTGTATAATATTCCATTATGTAAATATACCAACATTTATTTACCTCTGCATGTAAATTAGTATTCTTGGTAGATTTTTGCTTTAATAACTTTCCTATAAACATCCTTGCAAATGTCTCCTGGTGCAAGTGCCAAATTCCATAATTCCTACCTGTGGAGTTGCTGGCTTATTGGATATGTGAATGATTAACAACTATAAGTTAGGACCAAATTGTATTCTAGAGCAGTTGCATGATCTTACTTTCCTATTGGCATAAAAAACAAAAAACAAAAAAATCCTGTTGCTCTACCCATCCTTGTCAACAGTTGGTATTTTCAGACTTAATTTTTGCAATCTAGAAGGTGTGAAATAGAATTTCAATGTAGTCTTAATTTACATTTTCCTGAAAAATTAATGAGTTTCGTGTTATCTTTTTAGTTGTTTAGCTGTCATTCATTTCCTATTCTAGGAGATGCTTGGTTCATTTGTCCATTTTTCTTTTAGATTGTCTATTCTAAAAAATTGATTTTAAAGAATTCTTTTTATCTTCTATCATCCTTTTGTTAGTTACACACATTAGAAAACTGTCTGCATTTTTTTACCCTCATTTGGCCACAGTTCTAGTGCTGGCTTCCTCCATCATCCCCTTCCCCTCCCCTCGCCTCAAGTTATTGAGGAATAGAGAAAAACAGCAATATGGATTTCTAAATAGTTTTTTAAATTCTATAGCCTGAAAAGGATATTTAAAATAATTAGGTATTTTCATATAAAGTGGCAGAGATAAAATTATTGTCAGGGATGGTGAATGTAGTAGAAATTTAACTACCAATGTTGAGAATGCAAAGTAAATCTTCACAGGGGTGGTGATACCTGAGTGTACACATTTGACAAAACTCACTAAAATTATTCTATGTAAATTATGTAAATTCTATCTCAATAAAGCTGATTTAAAATGTAAAAAAAAAGTGTAAATTACAACACAGGTTTATAACACATTGGTTAGCGTCTGGTTCTAGAGCTAGACTGTCACTTAACTCTGCCATTTAGTAAGCTGTGTGACCACCTTGGCTGGGCAAGTTATTTCACATCTCTACGCCTCGCGTTTCTCAATGGCAAAATGGGGATAACAGCAGAACCATATTAGGGCTGTTGTGAGATATAAACAAATCAGTTTGAAAGCGCTTAGAATAATGCTTGATGAAGAATGAGCATCAGATGTACGTTAAGCTACATTTATCAATCGTTTCCTCTATGATTTATTGTAGGGTCTGAAAAATTCTTCCTTACCAATTCATATCATTATGATAGTCTCCTATATTTTCTTCCAGAAGTTTAAATGTTTTGGTTTTCATATTTAGGCAGGTAATCTACTTATCTTTTTTTTTTTTTTGAGTTTGCTGTGAAGTAAGAACGTAATTTCAGTTTTTTCCCCCCAAGAGACAACCAACTTGTCACAACACTATTAAATTATCCATCCTTCTCCACTGGTTTTGAATACGATTTCTGTCATATATATATATATATATATATATATATATATATATATATATATATAAAATCTCCACAAATACCTTGATTAGTTTCTGGATTTTTTTTTTAAGTTTCTGAATTCTTGATTGTGTTCCATTAAATGTATTGACAAGCCCTGCCCTAATACTACATTGTCTTAATTAGTACAACATTCTAATAAATCTTGATATGTATTAAGGCAAGTCTTCCACCCTTGTTCTCTGACACTGTCTTATTGATTCCTGAGCTTTTGTTCTTTTCTATGAACTACAGCTAATTTAGTCTATTAGGTTCCTTGAAAGCAAAAACAACAAAAATCTTGTTGAAATGTCACTGAATTTATAGATCTATTTGGGAAAAATTGAAAATCAACTAATTAACCCATTAACATGGGCTATCCATTTATTAAGATCTTTTATTTTTCAATCATGATTTATCTTTTTTTTTTTTTTAAGATTTTATTTGGGAGTTGGGGGGATGAGAACAGCGCTGGGGAATTGGGGGAAGGGGAACAGACAAGTTGCTGTCGTTTTGTTCTTCAGCCTAGTTGTGTAGGACGTTGCTTCACTGGCCCAAGTTGGCACCATCATTGCACTCTTCCCGGGTGAGGCAGATCAGTCGCCGGCTTCTGGACAGCCGCTCACTGCGGCTGCTGGCCGCTCACGCTGGCTGCTGGCTACACACGGTAGCCCATTGCAACCCACTGCCACAGAGGCTGCAGCCTACGCCGTGGCCGGTGACTCATGGAAGCCCAGCTCCAGGTTGAGCTGTTGTTCAGCATCTTAGCTGTGGAGGGCAGTGTCACTGGCCCTCATATGTGGGATCCGAACCGGGGCCCTCTGGCATCCCAAGCGAGTTCTTAACCATCGCGCCACTCGGCCGGCCCAATCATGATTTATCTTTATAGTTTTTATCCCCAGTTTTGCAGTCTCTCTTAATGCAATGCTTACATTTATTGTCTTCACTGATACATTTCAACCCATTTCTACCATCATTTTTGTTTCTATGTCCCCCACTTCCTTTAATTTTGATCTTTCATATCCCTCTAACCTTCTTTTTTCTGTTGGTTTAGAAACTATAGATTATATTTATAATCTTTTAAATTACTATATCTCTGCACATGACAGAGACCATACTATTCTTTCCTCACCTTTATTGAGAGTAAAGGGAAATAGAGTAAAACTAGACAAAAAAAGTAAAGAAGGTATAAAAGGGGACAACAGACAGTGATGACATACTTTGAAGTGGGAGAGCAGGACTGAATTCTTTAAAAGAAGAACGTGAACGTTTTCCTTTCTCATACTGTTCCTTCTCTCATCACATGCTTCAAGTGCATCAGGGCAGTGTTATTTTTAGGTTACAGGTTATATCATTTTCAGCATTTCCTTTCTATTTGTCCAGCACTCAAGGTAATCAAGGTCTCTTTTTATTTAACTATTACTCTTAATATGGGTTAGCATCTCTTTTTACTGACCTTAGCTTTAGTGAGATTGGTCAGTGTCCCTAGTGGAAAACAAAGACCAGGCACATAGCAGTGAAGAACTGATCATGGCAATAATGACAGCCATTAGGCAAATAGCACCAAGTTTGTTTTCTTCTATTCCCACACCTGCACTTTAAGTCAACACGCCACAGAGCCCACTGCTGTTTGTTCCTGAGGGCCTCTCAAATGGTAAACAAGGAAAAGAAGTCAGTTTAGGGCCGGCAGAGTGGCGCAATGGTTAAGAGCTGGCTTGGGACGCAAGAGGGCCCCGGTTCGGATCCCACATATGAGGGCCAGTGACACTGCCCTCCACAGCTAAGATGCTGAACAACAGCTCAACCCCGAGCTGGGCTGCCGTGAGTCGCCGGCGATGGCGTAGGTTTCAGCCCCTGTGGCAGTGGGTTGCCATGGGCTACCGTATGTAGCCAGCAGCCAGCAGCTGTAGTGAGCGGCCGTCCAGAAGCCGGTGACTGATCTGCCTTGCCTGGGAAGAGCGCAATGATGGTGCCAACTTGGGCCAGTGAAGCAACGTCCTCCACACTAGACTGAAGAACAAAAGGACAGCAACTTGTCTGTTTCCCTTCCCCCAATTCCCCAGCAGTGTTCCCATCCCCACAATTCCCCAATTAAAATTAAAAAAAAAAATCTAAAAAAAAAAAGAAGTCAGTTTATCCACATTACAGTTCTGGTGAAAGTGCATTCCAAATTTTGGGAGCCCTAAAGAGTGGTGATTAAAGTTTGATGATGAAAAAGTGTCACATTATTAGAATCTTTAGCATATAATTTATTCACTGCTATATATATTTGTGCTCTTTTTTAAATGCCAAATAATGCTATTTTTAAATCATTGCTGATATTTACATAATACAAGGTTAATGCAGTCATTTATTTAAATATTTGAGTTTTATTAAATACAAAACACGTCAAGGTAAGTTGTCTATGATTCTCCATAGGGAACATACAAGTAATACAGTCAAGATTTTTAACTAGGGCTCTACTCTCCCTTTTATGTCTCCAGTGATGGAGAACACGCTGCTCTCATGAGGCTCGGTCTCAATGTTAAACAACTCTAGGTATTAGAAAGCTTTCCCTTACATATTGAACAAAATTGCCTTCCCTAAACATCTACCTATTGCTCTAGCCTTGCATTTCAAGATAGAAAAATCAGTATCCTTTACGCCATATAATAATTCAAATTATATTATGGCAGCTATTGTGTTAGACTTCTTTCTCATTTTCTAATCCACTCCCTAAAACTATTCCTTGGCATATACTAGTTTTCCTTAGGATATGTCATAGAGATTGTTACGGGTTCAATGGTGTCTGCCCAAAAAAAGATGTGTTGGAGGCCAATCCCTACTATCTTAGAATGTGACCTTATTTGGAGACAGGCCTTTATAGAAGGAATCAGGTTAAAATGAGGTAATTAGGGTGGGCTCTAACCCAGTATAACATGTATCCTTACAGAGACAAGCACAAAGGGGGAATGCCAAGTGAAGATGAAAGCAGATTCGGGTGACACATCTACCAGCCAAGGAATTCAAAGATGGCCAGCAAACTACCAGAAGCGAGGAGAGAGACATTACTCTCCCTCACGGCCCTCAGAAAGAACCAACCCTTTCCACACATTCATCTTGGCTCTCTAGCCTCTAGAACCGTGAGACAATACAGTTCTGTTGTTTAAGCCTTGTGGCACTAATACATTTCTCAGAAATGTGACATGATAAAAGGTTAAGGAAATTTTTCACACCAGAATGCTTGGTTTTATTTATGTGAGAATAATCCTTTCCTAAAATGGACATATCATTACTTGAAAATATTAATGCTCTCAGCAATAACATATTTGAATACACCCTGAAATTACGCTTTGCATTATTAGCTAGTACAAACCTATTATGTTTAGATTTTTCCTATGACTTTTGCTTTCATGATTGCCTTGGTAGCTCTGCTTTTGCAAAGCTGATGATACTGTTAATAGTAAGGAAATCAACACAATGATAACATTTGGCTATGTATTCAAATTCTAATAATCCTAAAAACTTCTAGGGTCAGGAAATTGTAACTTGTCAACCACATTTCATTTTTAAATTTAGAAAATGAGGAATGTAAGAGCTGATGTGCAGAATATATTATAAAAATTATTTTCAAAGTGTACTGTATCAGCAATTTTCATCAATTTGGGGAAATTCTCTGTAGATACTGAAATAGAAATTAATTTTGAAATATAAAAAAATGACAGATTGGTCAGCAGCAGTATTTTATGTAGAAAACTCAAGTGAGAGATATTCTGAGACACTTACAAATTTCCAAATATCTTTATAGCCTATAATTTCTCCTGTAAAGTATATAGAAGCAACAAATATTAAACTAAGCCACTTTCAGATGGAGATGCTGAGCAGAATGGTTTTCGCAGAGGATCACTCCAATAGAATTTTCTGCAATGATGGAAATGTTCTATTTCTGTGCTGTCCAGTTAAGGTAGCCACCAAGTTTGCATAGCTATTGAGCACTTGAAATGTGGCTAGTGTGACTGAGGAACTTAATGTTAAATTTAATTAATTTACATTTAAGTAGCCACATGTGACTGGTGGCTACCGTACTGAGCACAGTTCAGGCTCATTCGTTCTCATACATGCTTTTCTTCCCTTTTCACTTGACACAGTTCTCAACCAGTGGCAATTCTGCTCACTAAGTGACATATGGCAATGTTTGGAGGCATTTTTGGCTGTCATAACTGGAGGGTGCTATTGGCCAGGGATGCTGCAAAACATCTTATAATGCTCAGAGCTATTCCCCCACAAGAAAGAATTATCTGGTCCAAAATGTCAATAGTGCTAGGCTAAGAAACCCGGACATGTTTCAACGATCTTCAAACGAAATTAAAAATACTTTGAGTATCATTATAAATGGCTGTATAATATTCTAACAATAGTTAGTCTGCTGCTTACTTAAAATAATCTTTAGCCACTGTCCAATAATTTCATTTTAATGACTAATATTTTCTCTGTCCATGGTATCTTAGTGAGTATGACATCTGGCCTGATTTTCAGTCATGGTAGCCTTTGTAAAATTAACATGACTGCCGCTAGTAAATTTACTTCAGTAACGCGTATGCTTAAACCTTTAACAGACAGTTTTGTAAACAGGAAGACATTTATAACCAAATAATTTGTACTTTTAACCTTTCATTTAACCTCAAAAAATGTATGAACCGGGTAGTTTAATGCAAATATATATCAATGACATAAAAATAAGCTCATGTTCTGTTAAGAGAGGCTCAGCAGTAATCTTTTTCCATGTGACAATCAAAACAGTAATGTCATTGTTATTTTGAGATATTTAAATTACCCATTTATGCCATCATTATTGTAATATACCATTTATTTAAACATTTAAATCTATACTGAAAGTAGAGAACATAAAAATTTCCATCTTAAAAGGGTTCAAAAATCCAGTGGTAAAAGAAATAGCTAATATTGCAGCAGTAAAAAAAGTGAACAAAAGCAAATTGTTTCTGAAAAGAAGGCTAATAAAGGAATCTTGTTGGAAGTTCTAGCCTATGCAATGAAAACAAGACCTAATAGTTTAGGATGTGTTTTCTATTTTAACAAAGAAAGACAGAAAAGATGACCTCTTGTACAGCATTCATAACAAATCATATTTTTAAGATTTAACTTTTTGAGTTTCCTAGAAAACATCATTGCTCCTAGGTACTTTATTTCTCATCGTCAAATAGCAATTTCAATAAGTATACTATTCTTAGACAAAACTCATGAACATTTAAGCTGTATACATGATGGATCTCAACAAAACTGGTAAATAAAGATAAAATCTACCCTAACCTAACTAAAAGAGAATGTCTTAGCTATCATTGAGATTTTACAACTATTTAAAAATACTTACAGCACATATAGAGGAAGAAATATATCACTTATAAATTGTGATGACCCTCAAACTTCTATGAGGACTTAAAAAATATTCAAGATGTTTTTCATTAATCCCATCATAATTTTCACACACACACACACACACACACACACACACACACACACACACGGTAGAAGCAGGATGCTATCATAACAATACATTAAAGAGATGATGCTGGCTTGGACTAGAGTAATATAAGTGAAGGTGGTGAGAAGTAGAATCAACAAGATTTACTGTAGGATTCAAGGTACAGAATGAGAGGAAAAGAGGAATCTGGAATGATGTCAAGGTTTTTGGCCTGAGCTAGTAGAAGGACTAAGTTGACATTGAGCTTAGGAAGGCTGCCGGAGGAGCCAGATGGGGAAGGAAATTCAAGAGCACAGTTTTGGATATCTTAAATTTGAGATGACTGTCAGATGTTTCCAAGTAGAATTAAGTAGGCAGCTGAAAATATATATGATCATTAGTTCAGGAGAGAGGTCTGGGCTGGAGATGTACATCCTCATAGGAACACAGATAGAAAAAAGATGGAAGAACTGAGCCCTGGGCAAACACACTTGAAGAGATCAGGGCATGCGGGGAATATAGCAAGGGAGGTGGAGAATGGAGTAGCCAGTGAGTTATGAAAAAAAATAATAAATAAAAAAAATCAAGGTTTCTTAGAAACCAAGTGAAGAAAGTACATCTAGGGGAGAGTGAGCAACTTTGTGAGAAGCTCCTGGTAAGTCAGATGAGGACTAATTTGGCCATGTGGAGGTCGCTGGTGACCTAGAGATGGGTAATTTCAATGGAGGATGGTTGGTGGCAAAGCCTAAATGGTATGGGTTCGACAGTGATCTGAAGGAGAGGATGTGGAGAAAATATATGTAGACTGTTCTTTTGTGAAGTTTTTGCTTTAAAGAGTTGGAGAGAAATGGGGTAATAAGATGAAAATTATTAGCAGGATGAGTTCTTTTGGCTGTTTTTTAAGATGGGAGAAATAATAGCATGTTTGCATGCTGACAAGAAAGATCTAGCAGAGAGGGGAAACAGATCATACTGGAAAGAAGGAGGAAAATTGCTGGAGTATGGTTTTTAAGGCATGTAATTTAGACACTGAAGATACCCATTAAATGTAATTTAAAAAGATCAGTTAAAGAAAGAGGATTGAGGTTTTACTAGCACTGCCAGGTAATAAAATTATTGTGAAACAAAAATAAAAATGTGTTACTAATGGTAAAAGGTAAAAATTTCATACTGACGTATGAAATTAAAAAGGAAGTCTCCAAATTCATACAATTGTAAATGAGAAAGTAGTACTTATTAAATATCTGGAGTAATTACTATTTTATATTTAGAAGTGAGAGAGAAATCACAAGGTAAAAATGAACATGTTGAACTGCATTACAACTATAAACTATACAACTATAGATAAAATATCTACAGAGAATTGTAATTACATTGCGAAATACATGTACATCAAATATGACTTAAGGTTAATTTCTTTATTATATGAGGCGCTCAATCAAGTAACTGAGAGATAAATGGGTAAAGTACATACAGACTATTGCACAATGAAAGATATAATTAATAAATATTAGGAAAGACATTAAACCTTGCTTGCTAATAAGAACACAAATGGAAAGAAAACAATGACAGCGATTATACTTCTTAGGAAAATATTTAAAAAAACAACAACCAAATTTGACTACACTGTGATAAAGATAGTACATATACACTACTGGTGGCAACGTAAAATAAAATCCTTTTGGAAAGCAATTTGGCAATTCATACCAACAGTCATAAAAATATTCATAGCCTTTGACACAGATATACTTCTGTTGGATATTTATGCTAAGGAAATACTTAAAAAGTATATATAAATGATGTTCACTGCAGCATTATAATTACAATGAAGCATTAATTATGATAAATATTAGAAATGATCTAAAACCTACTAATGATTGTCACCCCAATAAGCTTTGATTAAAAAAAAAGAAAAAATAATAAAGAGAAATGATCTAAAACCAAAATTAAAAAACAGATGAATGACTATGAAAATTATGAATACTGGTCTTATCAAATAGAAGATATAAAATAAGTCTTCAGAGCAACACAGAAGATGCTTACGATAATAAAAAATAGTAGAAAACATTTTTTACCCTACTCTAATTACAACTGTCACCTACGTACAGAGAGACCAAAAGAAAAATGTAAATTGAAAATAGTATTATCCAGTAATGCTGGGAGTGTAGGGGAATATATTCTATCTTGTTTTGATAACAATTATTAACACTTATAAAATACTTAACATGTGCATGATGCTGACCGTGGACATTATTTATATGAATGCATTTAATCTGATGGGGTAAGTAATAGCCAATAAATGGTAGAGCTGATATTTTAATTCAGACAATCTGTCTTTAGTCCTGATATTAGCCACAACACTGTATTATATAAATAAACTTAGAAAAGTTAGAAAAATGGGATTGCCCTCAATCTGTAAGAATCGTATTTTAAAAGTAAGGTATGGATATCTAGTGTGAATGTAACATCATTTGGTAATCCCAGATTACTATCCCTAATAATTGTTAACTAACCTTTCAATCTTAATAACAAAGTTAAAGTAAGCTGATTTTAAACAGGCTGGAAATAATGAAAAATCCTCTTATACCATCACAGAATGCTAAAGCTATGCAAAAGAGTTTGGAGATTACTAGCATCAGATTCTCTACAAAGAAAGAAACTGAGGTCTATAATCAGTTAAGAGGCTGATTCAAGGTCATTCAGCTGGTTAATATAACATAACCAAAACAACTGGGTTGTCGGAAAACTCATGACGTATTTTTTCTGTTTGTCATTGCAAAAATGCGTCATCACTTTTCCGGCAATCCAATAGTTCTAAATTCCAGGCTTCCCAATGATATTAGTGATATTTCTTTCTATACCATCTTACTCCCCTCTCCCACTTAAAAAAAAAAAATCTGTTTTAAGTGTACAACCAAATTTGGTATGTTCCAGTTAAACTAATTTAATCTTTACAACAGTTTTAAGGAGATATTATAACCATTTAAACGTGAGGACACTGAAGCTCAGGTGGATTTAGTATGTTGCCCAGGACTACACAGCTATTAACTGGCATCCAGGTCTGATTCCAAAGCCAGAGCTCTTGCCTGAAATGGTCTGCCACAAAGGGAGCTCTGGTTATGGAGGTTCCTTGTGTTCTTTCTTTGTACATGCCCGAGGTTCATGTGGAGAGAACTGTCTGATTTTTCTTCAGGTTCAGGACTAGCTTGGCTAGTCCAGTGAGTTAGAAAGAATGTAAGTAAATTCTATCCCCTGGTGTAAACAAAAATTCCAAGTTGATGTAGGTCATAAGATTGATCTTTTGTGTCCCTAGAGTGTGATCAAAGGAATAGAAAAGATTCAGTACAAAGAGATAGAGAAACTGAGGAGCAAAGGGGCAAAATATAATGATGCTTCTATCACCTGACAGTTGTGCTTTCCAAAATGCAAATGGTTCGATGGCTCATGAAATAGATTTCCTGACACTCGATAAATACATTTCCATGACCTTTTCTCCCTCACATTTTTGCTCTCTTTCTTTCGCCTCACACTAAATTCTGTAGGTTCTAGAATTGCAGGCTATATAACTTCTCTCCATTTAGGGAGCCTCCTAAATGGTCTCCCTGTCTTTAGTGTCTCTTCATGTACATCCATCTCATACAACAAGGGAGAGACTCTTCCAAAGCAAAGGCATTGTTGCCCAATAAAATTTATCACTTCTTCCTGAAATTCTCTGAAAATAGGCCCCAGTCCTTCAAGTCCTCTGTAACTAATCTGGGCTTTCCCTTCTCTGAGCTCTGGCTCACAGTAATGCCTTTATCTGGAATCCTTTCCTTTTTCATCTTTGGCTGTCTAAATTCAGTCTGTCCTTTAATGCTCATGTCAAATGTAATCCCTCTTGCTTCTTCTGATTCTCCAACCAGATATAATCCCTTTCTTGTCTAACCCCTGTAGCACTGGGTGTAACTCTTACAAGGCTTTACATTCTGATCTGTACTACAGGTATAGTGTACTTAAACTGTCAGTTCCATTAAGATAAACTAACTCTGTGCTACTGAGCTTTGTTATAGGTAGCAACTAGAAAAGACATGCATATTCAGAGTCACTGATGAAAAACAAAAATCTGACTTGAGTAAATGCAAACAAAATCAACGTGCTTCACAATTTTCTATCAGTTAAAGAACTAGTCAAAAGAACCCAGAGACTTAAAAAACACAAAAAAAGTACAGCTTCTTAATGGGGTACCTGATTTGCTAGGTGCAGACACAACTGATAGACATCTACTAGGTCAAAAAAGGTATGCCAGTATTATGTAAATGACAGACTCAAAGAGAGGCCCCAAACGGCTAAAAAAAAAAATCTGAAGACATCTGTGGTATGCTTTTATTTCTTGAGTTTCAGAGTTGCACAGGTGAACACAGGCAACTCTGAAGCTTTAAAACTAGAAACTGTACTGAGGATGGACAAACTGCATTAAGACAATCAAGTGACAAATTTTGACAAATGCTATTGCCAATCAGGTTGAATAGGGCTACTGATTCACTCACAAACAAATAAACCCAAACTCACAAAAAATTTAGCTTTCTCGCTAGTGAGAAACAAAATTAAGTATCTTGTAATGTTATTTTTTCCACATTTTGTGAAGCCTGCGCCTCACAAAAGCATTTCATAAACATACTGAGATAATATTACCCCTACGGAGATCATAAATAATGAATCCGGGCCCCTGGCTGTAACTACATCATTGTTTACTTTGTGACTTTTTTTTTTTTGAGAAGGGGGGGGTTAGATGGAAAGGAGGGGAGGAAAAGTTTAAATTATGGCTAAATACTTTTTTTACAGGGTAAAAACACCACAACTCATCTAATTTTTAAAAAAACTGTTATCGGTAGCAATTGTTGGTAAGAGCACAATGAAATGAACCGATAGTTTGAACAAAGGCAACAGGCACCTGCAGCCAGCCTCTCAATCCCTTAGCAAATATTTCCGCCAAATTCTGGATTTGGGCGAGCAGGCGGGTGTCACCATTCAATAATGCGCTCCTTTCTCGGTAAACTGTAAATCATGGGGCAACTGGGACCCTTCCCAGGGATCTGAGCTGGGAGCGGTCTCAGGTTTTTAGACAAATCTCTCCTCCTACCACACGTGACCGAATGGCAATCAGCCGCGAGAGAGACACCGCAACGCACCAGCCGCGGGATACAAAGGCTCGGCGCCGCCGCCGCCGCATCCTCGGGAGGATAGTGCAGCCTCCCGCGCTCAGCGTCTGCGGAGCCTGCGCAAGGCGCCGCCGCCGGACGGACGCGTCGCTCCCGGGCTCTCAGGGCGGTGCCGCGCAGCGCTGCGCGGGGAGAGGGAGCCGGGAGCGAGGAGCGCGCGCCGCCTGCCCACCCAGTGTCGCGGGAGCCGGGCCGCCGAGCCGCACGCAGTCCGGCTGCAGCCTCCAGACCCTCGTCCGCCGCAGGGAGCCCCGCAGCGACGTGGACCAGGGTGAGGAGGCCGAGGGCCCCCAGCTCCTGGGCAGGCCCGAGGCCGGGCCAGCCCACTCCCGCCCAGGCCCGGGCCTTCCCTTCCCGGCCCCTGTCCCTCCCCACACCCTCCCCGGGCCTCGCGTGGGCTGCAGGGCGTCGTGAGCGGCACTTACACCACGGCTCTGGAGATCATCCAGGACACCATCTTTCCGGGGGCTGGGATCCCCACCTTCTGGCGGGTGGGCGCAGAGTGTTGGCGGACCAAGCCGCCAACGGCAGGCCGCGCGCTCGCCGGTTCCTGGCGCTCCCCGGGGCCGCGCTGGCGCCCTTGGGAGCCGGGCCCGGTGTGTGAGCGCGGCGGCCCGAGCTGCGAGGCGGTGGGTCCCCCGCCCGTCCCCGCCCGTCTCCTCCCGCCCGCGGATCTGCCGCGGAGCCAGCCGGCCCCGCCCCTGCGCTCCGCTGATAGGCGGCAGCGGCGGCGGCGGCGGCCTGTTGGCCGAGACCAGGTCTGGGCCGTTGGGCTCCGGGGTACGGGCGGTCGGGACCCGGGCCTACGCCCGGCGGCCTCGGGGCCGGGACCCTTGTACTCTCCAACCTCCCTCTACCCCTTCCTTTGGGACGTCCCCCTGGCATGGAGGGGTGGCGGTGGCGGGAGACTGAGGAAGGGGACTTGAAGGTAGGGGTTCGTCAGTGCGTATGTGCAACACAAAATAACAGCAGGAACTCTGAGAATCGTCTGGACCAGGCCCTAGATTCTGAAGAGGCAAGATTTTGAGATATATTTGCCACATCCGGTGTCCTCACTGTTTCCCGAGGCCCGGCACTCTGGGCATCCTCAAAGTACCACGTTTTAAGGGAAACCTCGGGAGGATCCTCGCACAAGCCTCAGAGTGTACCAGGATTCTCGTGGTGGTGCGTGGTGCAATGCAGGAGGGGCAGAGGAGGAAAGCATTGGATTTCAGGTTTGCAGCAGTGGCTGTAGTATTGATACCTCTGTTCTGGGCCTCCTAGGGTACCTTTTCATCACAGCATCTGCAAAGCCTGTTTTACAAACCCACATCCGAGCCTGCCCAGATATTCAAAGTAAAAGCTGGGCCTAGGATTCCGGACCAGCCCAGCTATTTACAGTCTTCTGTTTTTGGAAGGTTGGATTTCTGTTTGCAGTTCTTGCAGATACTATAATTTCAAGAGATAGGATTTAAAAACTTTTTTGATGGCAGTACCAAATTGAGAAAATGACCTTAAAGTTTAGTCTTGTTTTTTTTTTGTCGTTAAGACAATAGTAAAAGATAATTCTAATATTCAGATGGTCTGAGGAATAATGGATGATATGTGGGCTTTGAGCCTTTAATTAAAAGTCCAAGAAAATATAATAGCTTATTTTGTGACCATACTGTAATTTATTCTTTTTGTTCTCACTTTCCCCATAGTAAAAAGAGGCTAATAATGCTGTAACTTACCTCTTGGCTTCTAGGGGTGACATGAGGCACTGGTAAATAACATGGTTAGGAAGTTCTCATACTTGCTTGGAAGAATATCAAGGATACATACAAGATTATTCTGAGTGTGTTTAAGTTTCTAGGTTCAATAAATTTAGTAATATTGATTAAGAAATTAGAAACTACTTTCTACACTTGAGTTAGGTACTTTCTGTTTACTTACTCATTAAGAATGTGTATTTTAATTTCAGGGATCATTAATGGAAATTTGCATTTGCTCACAATCTTATTTTTGGCCGTTATTTAGCATTATTTGGAGACAGGTGTGCCACATGAGCACCAGTTTTCTGAAAAACTCTTGTACAATAAAACTCAGACTCATTAGAATAGCATTCAAATCCCCCCATGAACAAGGTCCTGAAATGTTTTTACAGCCTTAATTTTCACTGCCTTCACAACCCCTTATGTACTCTTTTCCTAGCTCTCTTCTCTGAACCAAGCTGTATTTTCATGCTCAGGGCCTTTGCCTGGACTTCATTTTTTCTTTAATGATTTGCTCCCCATCCTCTATCAGAACCCTTGGTTTTCAGTGTCCATGCCATGAAGATGTCCTTGATTTTCCTCGGTGAGAATTAATATTCTCTCTAGGCTCCCATAATTTATTACTTGAGTTACTATTTAATGCCTGTGTCTTTCTACTTATATTATGGTTGTGTTTTACTGATGTCTGATCTACTGGATGGTAAAATGTTTGAAGACAGGTATGGTATCTTATCTTTGTGTTTTCTCACTATCTAGACTAGGGTAATTGCCCAATAAAAGTTTGAATAATATTAGTCACTCTCTTAATTATCACAACTTTACAAAATTTCAGCCATGTACAGTGGAAGTCTCTCAAAGATGTAACTCTTTCTTGCTTCCTTAATTTGGGGGTCATCATTCTGTATTATTTTACTGCATCATAATACATTAATGCCTGCAGGTGTTGCCGAGATATGTACGTCTGCTGGCTGCTCTCTGAAATGTCCCTCCTTCCTTGTGTGTTAAATTTCATTTCGTATGCTTATTATATCTCCAGCCTCCTCCACATTCATGTTACTGTTTGCTTTCAATCTGGAATAGCCCCCTTCTTCACATCTCAGTGTGTGATATGTTGGAAACCATCTACCGTGTGCTACCCATGTAGTCAAGTCTACCTCTATTAACCTAGGTAGTGTTTAGTCTCTTTTGATACACTGGAAACAGGTTTAGAGAGCTCACTGCCAGTGACCACATAACATAGCTCATAGGTGACAGACCTGGAATGCTAATCCATGCTTCCTAAGCATTCTTTACGTTATACTGTGATATTTGAATTGTGTGCTTCTAAGGCAGTGGGTCCTGATGGGGAGTGGCCTGTAGGAAGAAGTTGGGAGGTGTTTTGTTTTTTTTTGGAGGGGAGGCCTGTTGTTGGAATGATTGGGGCTAACCACTGGCATATGATGGGTGGGGGCCAGGGATGCTATACTTTCTTGTATGTGTGGGCTATCCTGAATAAAGAATGTACTATGTCCTGTGTGGTCGTGGTTTGGGAATATCCTGCCTGACATTTGTGTAATTGTAATTACCTGAACCTAGAACCTCCATTTTACATACAAACTCATGATTTTAAGTGAGACTGAATTTTCCATTGCCTATTTCCACATGCAACCCTTGTATGAAAGGAAGATTTGTTTTCTTTACATCTTGACCAAGAGTTATTGACAGTTTTGGAAAATTATACAAAAACAACTTTGTATTTGTAGCTGAATTTGTGTTCAGCTACTAATTACATTTATGTCTTCTAGTTCAGTTTTGTTTCAGGATTAACATTGAAATACATACTTTATAAATTATTTTCAGTTTCCTTTTCCATTTATATTTTATTTAGGGTATATGGATTTGTCTGAAGTCTGTAGGGAGATTGTTATTAATTTCATTTCAGGGTGAAAACAGCAGAAGTTGGAACACATTTTATGAAAGGGGGACATCAAGTCTTATATGGCTGAGTATTGTGGGTCTAAAGTAAGAGTAACTTCATCTGAGAAGAAACCTCTCATGGAAAGTGCCCAGATTTTAGGAGCGGGTGTTTTTAACCTTTGTGTATTGGGCTGTGCTTTGGATAGTTGAGATCTAGTAGGCGGCCATTAGATAAATGCTTCATGGTGTAAGGCAAGGCATTAGGGACAGTAGGAGAAAGGAAATACGTTACCTGCTGCCTAGAAGCTTTTAAAGTGTGCTCTCATTTGGCATACTTGAAACAATTTCTTGTATAGAAGATAGAAAATTATTTCTTTAAATACTAAACTTATTATTTTTTACATATACCACTAGTGTTCATTTGTTGTGCTATGGAGTGCTTCCTTCACTGTGTTCTGCAAAGACACTTTTCTTTGGGTATTGAGTTTACATGGTGGGAGGCAGCACATTTAGGGCAAAGGACGTTGTATTAGAAGACCTATTTCTACTACCGGTAATGTGATGTTTGGCAAATCAATCTGTTTCCTGTTAAATGGGGATGATAATGTTATGATGATCAAATGCAAGGGGTTTTAAAACCTGAGGGTAATTAGGCACTATTAAATTTTCACAGAATTTTTCCAAATTAATTGCTTTCTCTTCTACATCTTCACTTAGTGTTCCTAGGGAGTATGTGGAATGTGCATCTTCTACATGTTAAAAGAGTTCATTTATTAGGAAACAAGAGTGAGAAAGTACCTAGGAAAGCAGGTAGTGAGAGCAGAATTACAAGGCACAAAGATAGTATCTAATCTATGTAATTATTAATGAGTATGCCAATGAGAATACTAGATCACCTTCCCATTTTTATTGGAGTATTTTCAAGTGCTTGAAAATATTTTTATTTGGAGAAAGGCTAAAATTAGTAAATGAAGTCTACCGTTAATAGTCGTTTAGAAAATAGTGTGAGAGAGAGGATCTTAAGGAGAATGACTTAAAACACAAAACGTGGTCTTTTTCCGTCTGCTGTCAGATGACTAATTCTCCTGCTTTGGCCAATCAGCTTTATGGTACTATGGTTACAACAATTCAAATTTTGCATCTGACATTGAAATCAAATTAGAAGGAAATAATATTGAAAATACAATAATCAGATTGCAGTAGAATAGAAAGATTAATTCTGAATTAAGTATTTGACTATAAGTATTAATAGAAAAAGGTAGTTACTAGCTAACAATGAAGAAAGCAAAATACGTCTGTGACTGGATTTGTGGAGCACATATATAAGGAATCAGCCATATCTGAGGTTCTTTTACATGTGAGTTAGTAACTTTACTTAAAATAAAGATTTAGAAGAGCTTTTTTCCCCCCTTCAAGGCAAAAAATGGTTTTTGCCTTGAAGGCCATCTGTGTTACCAGGTTTTTTGTTTATTTGTTTTGCCAGAGTAATGTCTAGAAATAGACTCAATATATAGGTATTTAGTCTAGGATAAAGGTGGAATTTTACATTAGTTGGAACATGATGAACTTAATTAGTGAATGATTTCGTGATAGCCAGCCAACTATTTTAATAAAAACTGAAGAAAAAGTAGTAGATAAGAAATGTAAATATGGAAAATAAAAGTACAAAAAGAAAACAAGGTGAAGGTCATGTATCTTGACAGTGGAAAGGCCTTTCAGCATGCCATAAATCAGAAACGTATTTATATAAGAATTTAAAATTCTTGTGCCTCCAAAAGCAATATAAATAAGATTTCAAGACAAATGACAAACTAGGAAAAAAATATTTGGAAAACCAGTGAAAGGATTAATAATCTTAATATACAAAGCACTCACAAAACCATTAATTAAAAATATATCTCAATACCACCTCACTTTGGTCAGAATGGCTATCATCAATAAATCAACAAACAACAAATGATGGCGAGGTTGTGGGGAAAAGGGAACCCTGGTGCACTGTTGGTGGGATTGCAGATTGGTGCAGCCACTGTGG